TGTACAAGGAGTCCTCGACTTACAGCAGTTCATTTAGCGAACGTTCAAAGTGACCCCAGCACTGAAAATAGTGACTAGCTACCATTTTCCCCACACTTACAACTATTCCGGTATCCCAGTGGTCACATGATGCTTCGCAATTGACTCATATTTATGACGGTCGCAATGTCCCACAGGTCGTGGGGAATCCCCCTTTTGCAGCCTCCTGACAAGCAAAGCCAGTGGGGAAGCCAGATTCACTTAACAACCGTGTCACTAAATGAACAGCCGCAGTGATTCCCTTACAACAACTTACAGCAAGAAAGGCTGCAGAATGGGACCAAACTCACTTAACTGTCTCGCTTAGCGACAGAAATTTGGGGCCCCGTTGTGGTCGGAAGCCAGGTGATCTTAGGGCACATTCTCATTTATCCATCCATCTTTTGGGCCCAAGAAAGAACCGTGGGAGATCCTGCAGACCCTTCTCCACATCCCAAGGCAGGAAAATCAGCCCTGAAGGAAGAGGAGGAATTGGAAGGACAGAGAGAAAATCCAGTCTGACCCTTGCTCAAGAGCTCCTGGGAAGCAAGACAGAAGAATAACTGGTCCTTGTTGTTGTCTTCTCAGAAGGTCTTTAGAAATGGACAAATCACATCGTTTTCCTGCTGGGTCTCTTGACAACATTTTGTTTTTACCAACTGCATTTTTTTAAAAATCGTATCCTGTTCCCTTCCTGAGAAGATCCACTCCACAGTTGGCCTGCCTAATCAAGCCGTGGTCGTAGTCTAGAATAAAATGACAGAGGTTGGAAGGGACCTTGGAGGTCTTCTAGTCCACCCCCCTGCCTAGGCAGGAAACCCCACACCACTTCAGACAAATGGTTACCCAACATCTTTTTAAAAAATTCCAGTGTTGGAGCATTCACAACTTCTGGAGGCAGGTTGTTCCACTAGTTAATTGTTCTAACTGTCAGGAAATTTCTCCTTAGTTAGTTCTAGGTTGCTTCTCTCCTGGATTAGTTTCCACCCATTGCTTCTTGTCCTGCTTTCTCAGGGGCTTTGGAGAATAGCTTGACTCCCTCTTCTGTGGGGCAGCCCCTGAGATACTGGAACACTGCTGTCTCCCCTAGTCCTCCTTTTCATTAAACTAGACATACCCAGTTCCAGCAACCAGTTCCTCATATGTTTTAGCCTCCAGCCCCCTAATCCTCTTTGTTGCT